AGGCCATGCCTGACACCAGGTTTCTAGTACCAAACATGTTTATGGGGGACCTCTGTTGATCCATAAACCACACAGACCAGAAGAACAGAGAGAAGAACAAATAGAAACCAAAGAATAAAACACCCATTCTAAAGAGACTAAAGGAGAAATAGGAACCTAGACTCATAATCAACCCAAACCCAGATACAGAGATGTTAACTTAAGAAGACAAACCAAAGTCAGAGCATTATATTCCCACCAGAGCCCAGCTATTCTACTACAACAAGCCATCAATACTCCAACCCAGCAGAAACACAAATAAAAGGTCTTCAAACAAACTTTATAAATGTAATAGTGGTCCTGAGAGAGGATGTGAATAAATCCCTTAAAGAAGGCAATAAAAAGATAAATAAAATATTGCAGAAAATGGATGAATTCCTTGAAGAATACCAAGGAGAAATAAAACAGCCAAAGGAAATGGACAGAACCAGTCAAGACCTGAAAATGGACATAAAAGCAATAAAAAGCATAAACTCAATGAATACTGGAAATGAGAAATCTAGGTAAGAGAACAGGGATTACAGAAGCGACCTTCACCAAAATTATAGAGGATATAGAGGAGAGAATCTCTGGTGTTTAGAATATTATAGAAGAAAATTTAAAACCTAAAACACTCCTCAAACATAACATCCATGAAATCTGGAAGACTATAAATACATCAAACCTTGAAATACTAGGAATAGAAGGAAAAGAATTCCAACTTTTATACCCAGAAAATATTTTCTCACTAGGTTTCTGACCCTGTCAAACACAGATGGGTTCACCAGTGCTGAACTGAACCCACAGAGGAAGAATCCATTACCTTTACATTTGGCATCTTTATTGTTCCCAGAACCAGTACAACATGGACGATCATGCCAAGTTTGGCTTCTATGTTGGGATGGACCCTACCAGAGTTGCATGGACAAAAGTTGCAGTAGGTTTTGAATGAAGTTGATTCCTGGAACTAGGAATCACTTTCCTTACTCCTTCCATCATCTGAATATTTGGAAGAATGGAATCTTATTCTTAAGAGCACCTTGCTAGGCTTCCACTCTAGAGCAAGGGCTTTTCTTTAATGATGACAATCTACTTGAAAGTCTCTGCCTGTTTCTCCACCGGGCTGCCATCTGAAACTACCCAGTGCTTGTTTCTCTACCAAACAGACTTTTCTTTTCTTTCTGTCCCACTTGTTTCATTTTTCACTATAGGCTTGAATGAGTCACCAGTAATAATCATCCAACAGAACCAATATTTTATCTACGAAGACAGCCATTTAGTTATGAGTTTTGGCTTACTCAATTTCTCAGGTAATGGAGAAAGTAAGAATTATTCAGGGCAAAAATATAATAAAAATGATCTCCAGCTTAATTTTTCATGGAGTTTTTCCCACTGAGCTCCTATGAGTTCAACCTTCACAGTCTGCATTACTCCCAACCCTCCCATCTTCCCAGTTCCATAAGAATAACCGCTGTTGCCTTGTGTATAATTTTCTAGGTATTTAGCCATCTAAAACCCTAATATCTTCAACAATCCTTCAAAAGTCATCAATCCCAGGTTCTTTGCAGTAATAACATCACTCTGATCTACCATATTTTGTTATAACTTGTTAGTTACCTTCTGTTATTAAATTCTAAACAAAAGCATCTCAGGGTTTATTTGACTGATACTGACATCACAATTCATCGTCTTGGAAGCTTAGGACAGAAACTAAAGTTAGCAGCTGCAGTAAAAATAACCATGGGGAAATGTTTTTCTTAGCTTTCTCTCTCCCTTGGTAACTGTCTCATGCTCAGCTCACTCTCTTATCCAGTCAAGTTCCACTTGCTAATGAGTATTGCCACTCAGTGGAGGAGCCTTCCTACATCAGTCATCAATCAACCCAATCTCTCACAGGCATAGGAACTAGTGGTTCTGAGTGTGCATGCCCTCAAGTGACGTTCCCTCAGATGATTGTAGGCAACATCATGTTGACAGGTGATGCTAATTAAGACAAAGGTACAAAAATATATGAAAAACTTTGAAAAACCCAAAACTAGTGTATTAACCCTATCAATCACTTAAGTGGCCGAAACACAAACATAAAGATAGCAACAACTGGAAAACACAAAATTGCATAGAAATAATGAAAAACAAGCCTCTAAAATACAAATAATGAGCTTTTTGAAAAGATAAAAGTAATTTATTTTAATAACAATAAGATAGACCTCAGGGATATTGACTTAGAAAAATAGTAGGTCATTCCCTTTTAGCTGTAACCCCACTAAGAAGTGACAGATTGATATTGCTCACATGCCCCCCTGATGGCTGCTAAGATCTGGAACCTGACATCCAGAGTTACAGTCAATGGCCTGTTTCTAATCCACAGAGCTGAATTAACTGTGCCAAGCAGGATTGAACACATCTGCACAGGACAGTTACCTAATTGGAAATTCAGTATTACTGACTCAAGCTAACCTTCTTAAACTCACAAATCAGGTCTGTCTTCATTCTAATAACATGAATTAATACATTCTGGAATTTAAAAATTATTACTAAAACTGCCTGACTTAGTTATGATTTTTATTGATGTGAAGAGACAACATGAGCATCATAACCTTTATAATAAAACATTTAGTCAGAGTGGCTCATTTAGAGGTCCAGAGGTTAAATCCATTATCATCATGGTTTGCAGCATGAAATGTTTGCAGGATGATGTTTTACAACTTGATATGCAGGCCACGGGTATTCTACTGGCATGCTTGGCAGTATCCAGAGCAGAGGAAAGCTCCAAGCCCATCCTTTCCCCATGACACACCTCTTTCAAGACCATACCCATTCCCACAAAGCCACACTTTATACTAGTACCACTTCCTATGAGATTATAGGAGCCAATTACATTGAAACTACCACATTGCCACAATCAGGTCCTGCCTGTTTCATACTAGTAACTCCAGCAGCTGATTTTCTCACATTTCCCCCTGCAATGTGCTCAATAAACTATTTTTTCTACTCTATTTTGAAGGCACAAACCATGTTACACATGCAAATCCTTCTGCAACTGAAATGAATACTCGAGTATATGACTCAAGTGGATAATTTAAAAAGTCTGAGGTCACACAGTCATTTAATTTAGGAATAGTGCAAGTGTAATCAAAAGGACAGCGAGGTCATTGACCGAGAAAGCCTGGGATTACGGTCACCTATGTAAAATTTAGAGATCTTGTCTCAGACACATTTTTCTAAAAGGCTGGAAGAGCAACTGTTCTAGATAAGTCTTTCCACAGGGAGAAATCATTCCACACACTTATGAGATTAATAAAGAGAAATATCTGTAATGATAGAGAGAAACCAACTCTGGAAAAATTCCAAAGAGGAGAGAGCCTAGAACAAATTTCACAGTCCACATATGCAGACATCCCTTAGGTTTCTTTTAGGTTCAGACTCTAGCTTACACTTTGAAGATTCAATAGTGACAGGAAACTGTAAGTCTACCCAGTTAGGCAAACGGGAGACTTACACAGTAAAGACATTACCATAATTATTTCATAAGTACATCAGTGACCTGAAACAGCAGGTCATGCTTTACTGAGAGGCCCTGAGGTGGAGCTGCCAGAAGGTGAGAAAGATAGGAAAATAGAACAAAAAAAAAAAAGGTAAAAGCTGAGGCAGAGGAGTCTTGCATAAGCTATGTCTTCTTCCAAGGAAGCTTCCTAAGAGGAATAGCTTCTTGTGTACTATTTCTAGGAGGCTATCAAAGGAACTAGGAGCCTCTATGCAATCAGCAGGAATTATTATACAATGGGAGAAACCCAGGAGAAGGATAATCAAATAATGCAGCACAGGGGCACACAGGATATCTTAAAAATATTATGGACTACACCCACAGTGGCCTTGGAAATGATAACTGTAGTTCCAGGAGATGGGAAGAGTTGGATTCTAAGGATCTGAAGAACCTCTCCACAAATTCACTGGCTCCAGACCATCACCATCTCTCCCAAGCTTAAACCTGGTTTCAATTAAGGAGCTCTATTCTATTCTCCATAACACTGGGCCTTGGGAAAGCTCCTAAGGCTTAGACACTAGGCTGTTCCTGGCTCTGGCATGAATGTCCCTAGGTTTGAGAAGGAGCTGTGTTCCTTCTCCATGAGTGAGGACCTAAATGGAAAGTCTTGCTTGATCATTCCCTTTTTACATAGCTGTCACCTAGTCTCATATTGTGCACCTGGCAGGACTATAATTTTCTATAGAAGAAAACTGGGACTTTATGTCACACCAGGCCCTAATGTGCACAGTGACCGACAGTGCCCCCTTGAGCAGCTTGTTAGAGGCCTGTTCTTTGATATGGAGATCAGCCTAGTGGCTGTTTGTAAAACAGGGGTGTCTACTTTTTCATGGTTTAGAGACAAATGTTTGGTCGAGTCTGGTGAACAAATGTGTATCCAGGCATCCAAATCTCTAACAGGCCTAGCTAGCATACTACTTATTTTTGGGTAATTTTTGAGGTAGCCCTCCCTCAGCTAAATATCTTCTAAGCACTGGCGAATCTTTATACTAACAATTTTACTCTTCTACTTCACACCTTGGTTGTAAAGTGGGATCTGAGGCGAGAATGCCTTTACAGACTCCAAAAAAAATTAACTTCAAATGGATTTTACACCAAAATGTTAAATGCAAACCACAGAACAGGAAGATAGTAGGGAAACAAAGCCTCTCCAAGTTTGGCAACTTGTTCTCCGTATGCATCAAAAAAATCACATTGGGGTTGACTAAAACAGTGTTTCCACACACCGCTCCACGCTTAAAATGCTTCTCCCAGATGCACTCCACAGAGAAAGTTATTCAGACGCCAGTTCCCGGGTTTGAGAATTTGTAAGGACCACATGGGACCCCAGAGAACACTGACTGTGGCCTCAGGTTCCCACCCAGCCTCCGAGAGGGCCCCATCTCCCATGGCTCGCCATCCTCTCCTCTCCATATTGGGACAGCAGCCTCTTGCTCACCATGTCGTGGCTTTCTTGCTCACCCATGTTCTCCACACAGGTCCCTGCAGTAGCACTCACAGCGCAGCACAAAACCCTCCGGGGCCAGCTCTGCTAGAAAATCAAGCCCGTAACTTTGCTCCAGGAAATGTCCTGCCTTATTTTGACGGACAGGTCAGCTTGGAGGCCTGATTGGCTATTGAGACTTGAGTGACAAGAACACCTCCCTTAGGTTTACAGTGTATTTAAAGACACAGCACAAGGTTTCTCGGACCCGGCTTCCAACTCAAACCCAGACCTTTTACAGATTTGCAGAGATATGTATTTAAATATCGCATACCCCTCTCTCAAATAGTTGGCCCAGCTATCTTCCTGCATCAACTACAATCCCCTCTGCCTCCTTGGCAGGAAGTCTGCCCAGAATATTTAAAATAAAAACATTTAGGACATAAAATTTCTGTGGTTTCAGTCTGATGTCAGGAGAACAGAGGATACTCTTTACCTTGTTATCAAAGGCACTTCAGACGTCCACGAGAGCAACCCAGGAACCAGAGCACACACAAAATGATATATTTTTCTGCAGACAGAAAACTGGATGATAGATTCCATTGCACTAGGATTTTTATTTCTGAATTTCAAGTCAAACTCTTGAGAAATGAATAATAATAAAAATGTAGTCTGCATGGGAAGTTGAATACTTAGAGAGAATGGGGCTATAGGAATGATACTCTTATAAGCTCCATGGTGAGCCAGCACATTTTCCTCAGTGGGCAGGTGAAAAAAAAAAATCCTTTCATTATTCCAGGTTCTCTGCCTGAACAGGACAATGAGAATAAGTCTTTTTGTGTTTGTAGAAAGTGGATTTTTGAGAATCCCTCAGAGGCTGTGGTCCAGTTATTCCAACAATGGCTGTCTACCAATGGAAAGATTTCAGTAGTTTTTTGGTCCACGAGTCTGGATGTCTCAACAGATTTTCAGTATACATAAGAATTCCAAAGAAGTAGGCTCTAAAGCTAGTAAAGGAATGAATTTGATAGCCAGAGCTATGGCAAGCAAGCAAATAGAGAGGTTTTTCTTCTTCAATATTCTTACATAAGTAGACTGCTACCAGAAGGTGTGATCCAGATCATAGGTGGATCGTTTTGTTTGATTGTGTGTTTTCTTGATTTTTTTTTGAGTCATCATTTATCTGTGTATGCTGAGATCACATTATATAGACCAGAATGGTCACAAATTCAGAAAATAAAACTGCTTCTGCTGAATGCTCAGATTAAACTTGTAAAACCAATGCCAAGCTGGCTAATGTGGATCTTATCACATCAAATAATAATGGTTATAGATGGTTCTTCCCATTACAAAAGCTTTAATAAGAAAAAAAACCCTTATAGGTATACCAAGGTTTTTGGGTTTTAGTTAATTCCAGAGGTAATCAGTTTGACTACCTACAATAGTCATCACAACAGAACCATGGAAGAAATTCAAAGAATCATTGGGCCACATTTCAAAAACTTGTACTCCACAAAATTGGAAAAAAATTTTTAAAAATGAACAATTTTCTGGATAAATATAACTTACCAAAATTAAATCAAGACCAGAAAAGCAAATTAAGTAGATTATAACTGCTAAAGAAATCGAAATGGTCATCAAAAGTCTTCCAACCAAAAAAAAAAAAAGCCCAGATGGTTTTAGTGCAGAATTCTATGATATTCAAAGTAGAACTAATACCAAAACAAATCAACCTGTTACACAATTGAAATAGAAGGAACATTACCAAACACTTTTTTTATGAGACTACAAGTACCCTAATACCCAAACAACACAAAGACATTACTAAGAAAGAGAATTACACACTAAATTCATTCATGAATATTGATGCAAAATTACTCAACAAAATACTGGCAAACCAAATCCAAGAACACATGAGAAAAACCATCAACCATGATCAAGTCATCTTCAACCCAGAGATGCAGGGATGGTTCAACATAAGAAAATCTGTCAATGTAATCCACCATATAAACAAACTGAGGAAAAAAACCCACATGATGATTTCATTAGATGCTGAAAAAGCTGTTGACAAAATACAACATCCCTTCATGATAAAGGTCTTAAAGAGAGCAGGGATAAAGGAATATATCTAAACATATTAATTGCAATATACAGGAAGCCAACAGCCAACATCAATCTAAGTGGAGAGAAACTCCCAGCGATCCCACTGAAATCAGAAACAAGACAAGGTTGTCCACTCTCTCCATAGCTATTCAATATAGTACACGAGGTTCTAGCTTGAGCAATAACCAACAAAAGGAGATCTAAGGGATACAAATCAGAAAAGAAGAAGCCGAATTCTCACTATTTCCTGGTGATACGATAGTTTACAAAAGCCATCCCAAAAACTCTACCAAGGAATTTCTACAACTCATAAACACTTTCAGTAATGGAGCAAGATACAAAATTGTCTTGAAAAAAATCAGTAGCCCCCTTTTTTTTTTACACAGTTGATAAATGGGCTGAGAACCAAATCAGAGAAGCATCACCCTTTACAACAGCCACAAATAACATAAAATATATTGGAGAAACTGTAACAAAACAAGTGGAAATCATGTATGACAAGAACTTTAAATCTTTGAAGAAAGAAATTGAAAAAGACACCAGAAAATGGAAAAAAACTCCCATGATCTTGTGGAGGTAGAATTAACATAATAAAAGTGCCAATATTACCAACAGCAATCTACAGATTCAATGCAATGCTCATCAAAATCCCAGCAATTTTTTTACAGACCTTAAGAGAACAATCCCGAAATTCATATGGAAAAGCAAAAAAAGAAAAACCAAAAGAAAAAAAAAACTATAGCCAAAACAATAAAAGAACAACAAAGGAACTTCTAGAGGCATCACAATCCCTGACTTCAAACTCTACTACAGAGCTACAGTACTAAAAACAGCATAGCATTGGCATAAAAACAGAGAGGAGGACCAGTGGAACCAAATAGAATCCACACACTGACAAACACCTAATTTTTTATAAAGAAGCAAAAATTATAAAATGGAAAAAAGAAAGCATATTCAGCAAACAGTGCTGGCATAACTGTATATTAATATGTAGATGAATAAAAATAGATCCATAACTATCACCATGCACAAAACTCAAGTTCAAATGGATCAAAGACCTCAACTTAAAACCAGGCACACTGAACCTCATAGAAGAGAAAATGAGAAGTATACTTGAACTCATTGGCACAGGAGACCACTTCCTAAATATAATCCCAGTAGCACAGACACTGAGAAAATGAATTAATAAATGGAACCTCCTAAAACTGAGAAGCTTCTGTAAAGCAAAGGACAGTGTCAACAAGACAACAGCAGCCTACAGAATGGAAAAAGATCTTCACCAACCCAACATTGCACAGAGTTGATCTCCAAAATATAAAAAGAACTCAAAAAATTGGTCATCAAAAGATCACATAATCCAATGAAAAATGGAGTGCAAATCTAAACAGAGAACTCTAGTAGAGTAATCTGAAATGGCTGAAAGATACTTAAGGAAATGTTCAACATCTTTAGCTATCATAGAAATGTAAATCAAAACAACTCTGAGATACCATCTTATACCTATAAGAATGGCCAAGATCAAAAACACTAATGACAAGTTATGCTTGAGAGGAAGTGGGGTAAAAGGAACACTACTCCATTGTTTGTACTAGTGCACACTGGTACAACCACTTTGGATATCAGAATGGCAATTTCTCAGAAAATTAGAAAACAACCTACCTTAAGACCCAGCAATACCACTTTTTGATATATGCACAAAAGGTGTTCAAGGACATGTGATCAGTTGTGTTTATAGAGCCATTGTTTTTCATAACCAGGACCTGGAAACAACCTAAATTCTCCTTGGCTGAAAAAAAAATGAATAAATAAAATGTGTTTCATAGTCACAATGGAGTACTACAAAGCAAAAAAAATGATAATGACATCTTGAAAGTTACAGGCAAATAGATAGATCTAGAAAACATATTGACTGAGGTAACACAGACCCAAAAAGACAAATATCATATGTACTCTCTCATAAGTGGCTTTGAGACATAGATAAAGAACAACTAGCCTATAATTCACAATCCCAGAGAACTTAAACACAAAGAGGACCCTAAGAGAGAAATACATGCATCTAATCTACACAAGTAGAAAAAGACAAGAACTTTTGAGTGAATTTGAATCATGGGGACCATATGAGTGGGCAGAAGGGGAGAAAAGAGGGTAGAAGAGAGGTGGAGAAAAATAATAGTTCAATAAAAGCAAGAAAAATTAATTAAAAAGAACCTTTCTTAAGTGGCAAAAAAGTTAGATTTATCAGGTTATTATTATTTGTGTTTTATATTAAAATCCATGTTGTAGAAGAAGCAAAGAGACACATTTTTGAGTGATAATAAGAGTTTGGAATTGTAAAAATAATTTTGGTTAAAGGCAGAAATATCCCCTTTCTTATTCAGATGTTTGTATGTGTGTAAATTAAAGAGAGTCTCCATTAGGATTAGGAGAATTTTTTAAGTTTTATATTTTAAAAAATATTGAAAGGAAATATAGAAAACTAAGTTTGTGTCTAAATAGTATACTTAGCTATAGCTTTATAAGAGGCAATGATTATAGATGTTAAATTTTTTGAAATTATTTTTTGAAATGGGAACTTGGAAAATTTATCCTCTCTTTTCAACAGATAAAGGTGTCTTTTGACTTTCAAGTATACATAATTAAAATAAATTCTATAGCAGACACTAGAAAAAATGCATAGTTTTGCTTATATGGAATTATTTATAACAATAATATATTTATAAATACAGTTTTCAATATGTGAGATAATATTTTCAAAGATTATTTGAATATATTGGAATAATTTAGATTGGTCAAAAACCTGTATTTTTAATTAACAATATTTATGAATTATGTAAACAAATTTTCACTTATAAGTTATGTAAAAAATTTATTAATCATTTGTAAATTTACAGTAAAATAGATTTATTTTAAAAGTTTAAAATAATACTATTATGTGTAATGAGCATGGAAACAGATCCCTCTGAATGAGTAAAAAGGGGGAAGCTATAGTGTAGTAAAGCAGGAAATCTATAGTATAAGGATACGTATAATATAGAAAAT